CAGCAACAATAGTACAGTGAGAATAAAAGTTACGCCTTCTTTCTTTGCGTGACAAATCTTCCCCCATCGTGACGTAGATATGTGGGGGCGTGTTAGAACGAGCCGTTTTAGGTAGGCGCGGTTTACTCAACTTTTATAAAGAGTATCTCTTTGGATTTGAGACTTTAGTCTTTGCAACTTTACAGATCTTCTTTATGCACCAAGAGCTTGTAACACTCCAAAGAGAAAGGAAAAATTGTAATCGCATCATATGACCCCTTTAACAGTTCTAATAATCAGATAGAACTGTTAAAGTAAAGGAATTGAAAAGTATACAAAAAGTACTAAAAAAGCGATTGCTTTTATAGTATTAGTAATAGAAAGGCAAACATTATAATACATACTCGTTTACCGACAGCATTCAGCAACAGCTGTGAGACCTTGTGAAGTGTGCATTTCTATACTGCATATGATATGATCACGAGTAAGTGACAGTCGGTCGGACAGAAGGAGAGTTCAGCTTCACTGGAGACGCGCGATCGACAAACTTTAAACTCTTTATATCTGCCATCGGTCACCCTGCTCTTTAAGATATCGGCAGTCAAAATACCAATATCGGTCGACCACTAGTTTATTATGTGAGAGAAAGGGAAAGGAACAGATGAAGGTGGAGATAGAGAAAGATAAGAGACACTATCCTTTGATAGCAGTATGATCTCATTTAGTGGAAAAGCATAACCAGCGGAAAAACTTTACGAAGACAGGAGAGAGTAAAATAGGGAGAGCGAGCCAACATTTCTAGAGACAAAAAAAACAATGCTTCCTGTCACTTTGTTCACCCACAGCTCAATCTGGCAAACTCAGCACTTAACACCATAAAGAGAACACCACAAAGGCTAATTACATCTTTTTGTTAATTTAATATTCCTTTCATGAGTGATTCGGTGTGATTCTGAATTGAACAAAAGCATGTTCAATGTTGCCTCGGCGAGAGATCGTTATTTCATGCCCAAGGGAGTTAAAGGATGTAATAATGCCTGCCAAACGCATCAGCAGCCGTAAGCCTGTGTGACTGATTGAGTCTGTGCGACTAACAACAAATCAGGAGCAAAAAAAGTTGCCAAAAAATTCCATCCAAAACAAAAAGTGACACTGATTAAATACATAAATGAAAAAGATGAAATGCAAAATAACTAAATTGAAAACAGACAAAAATGGAAGGGAAAAGGATGAGCTGAAGAAACAGGAGAGATGTCAATTACAAGACGGCGAGCCAAAGTTCTCTGAAACTCTGAAAGACTCTTGCTGTTTCGCAAACATGTCATTAGGACTGCAGAAACTGTATTTAAGTATTGACAAGGAAGAAAATATCCAAGCCTATTTCAACAAAAATGGACATAATGATATCTGAAATCTTTTATGTTGCTGTTTTTACACATTTTACAAGAAAACCAAGAGAACCCAGACATGTATATAAAAAAATCATTACAGAACCAGAAACCAAACAGAATGCTGACATTTTGTAGCTTTGTATGCTTGTGGTGTTTCTAACACAGAGTTCAATAAACACCACACAATTATCGAAGTAAACAAGACTAATTAAAGAAAACTTCAGCTTTGATGTGGAAAACACAAGTGGCTTAGAGTGAACCCAAGAAAAAGGGTGAGAGAAAAGGTAGTATTTGAATCATTAAAGGTAGTATTTGAATCAATCATATAATTTGACAAATGACACATTTACAGTGAAACTATAGAGTGTGACGTGAGAGAAAGACATTCTGAAGTTCAAATACAGAAAGATAAAGGATATTTCAGCACATCTCAAGTATCCACAGCCCCTAAAGACAAAAGGCTGACTGTTATCTCACTATCACAGCACACATGACAGCAGCAGCATCAGGACTGAAAGTGCTCTGAGGGTTCGCTCAATGTTTTCCATTGGGAGGCATAAACAAAAGCTCCTATCCGGTGGGTTATACAATCATGACATAATCAGAAGAGCTATGCCCAGTGCAGTGGCTTGTCTGTGTTTCAACCAGACACATTACACCGCTTCAAACAGCTGGGAGGACAATGATAATGACACAAACATCACACAGCTAACTATTCAATCATTCTGATCAATCAATTCCCTGTTAGCCTCTTCCTGACCAATATGAGCTAAATATATGAATGGTTGTTTTAATATATTTTAAAATGTAATTTATTCCTATTCTGTCAAAGATGAATTTTCACATTTCTTATTATTATCAGTGCAGAAAAGAGTTTAATATTTTTGTGGAAACTGATTTTTTTTTTTTTTTGAATTTGAAAGAATTAATTTAAAAGTATTCATTTCTTTCAAAAAATAATAACCTTACTGACCCCACAGTTTTGAACAGTAGCGTATGTGGTGTTTTGGATGCTGGACCCCAGCATGCAGGTGTGCTCACAAGGCTTCTTCACTAGCTGAACCAGTAAGATTTCCATGGTCAATCAGCTTCACCAGAATGACCATGCTGGCTGACAACCTTTACCAGCACAAAATCAGCACTAACTGGCATTAACCAGCCTGCACCAGCAATAGAAATTCATGCTGCTCTTTTCATCAGAGCATTCATCTAAGGTTAAATAATATAATAATAGAAAATAAACAAATGCACACTCCTGACAGAACTTTTACATTTACCGAATAGAAAGGATGTGTGATGATGAAGTTTAAGCTAAATATTTTGACATAATTTCAACCGATTTCATCCAAAAATTAATAATTAAATCTTAAACATTCACAAAGACAGAAATACAGAAAAAATGGTTTTAGTCGACTAAATAGTCGACTAAATATCATAAGATTTTAGTCGGCTAAAATCTAATGGGTTTAATTACAGTGCATTTATTAAGCATTTCTCTAAAATTTCCAAACTCATATAGGTTTGATATTAAGGTTTTATCATGATAGACACCGATTTAACTGCTGTGACACACAACATGACTTTATGTTAAAATTAAATAAAACCACTTCTCATAAAGAACAAGAACATGGTCTTCTTTTTAATGAAATACCAATGGTTATATAGGCTAATTATGCATTCTTTATAGCAACTTGTTTACCACATTCTTCATTCTTTCAAGCAGACATATTTATTTCTATAAATAAATTTAGATTAATCTTTAGGGCTACTAAAGTTTTTCAGTCAAGAGCAGTGCGTGATTTTCAGTCTTTCATTTGTTGCTTGATTAACATCAATGACTCGGACAATAGCAACTAAATTCTAGATGCTATCCCTTTAAAACCGAATGCACAGGTGCAATGGATGCAATGTACTGATACATGTTCTCCCTGCTGTTTACGTTCACTTAAGACGTAGGCTAATCAACTGTGAATACTCGTCACTTTTACGTGAATACTCGTCAAAACGGACAATTCGACATCATTTTGTGTGTAATTCTCCATTCATGCGACGCGAAAGAGTACTCGCTGAGAGAGCGCTGTGAGACGCGCTTTCTGTGTGTGTACGCTTCAGTGTCTGCACTCTGAAAACCGGACCGAATTGAGTTCTCTCTTGCGTCGTCAGATTCATCCATACGTCTGCTCTTCTCTAACTACCACATATTGACATTTTTTAACGTTTTATGCGACTTGCAGCAAGTGTATGTTAGCTTATGTCCCGCCGGTTCATATGTACGCATCTAACCTCCGAACCACGCAGCAGTTTCGTTCTGAATTAATCTCTTCCCAAATCGTCCCTCCCTAACATTTCTTCTCGTTTTTATTCGTTGATGAAAATGGCAATAGATTTACATCATAGTTTCTGTCATTCAAAATGAGTTTTAGTTCGTTATCGTCGGTGAAAAAAATGTTGTCGATGAAAATTATGACGAAAATGATTCGTCAACGAAATTAACACTGCTGTATTCTCTGTCTTGAGCTCTATTACCCCTCCGAACACACACACACACACACACACACACACACACACACAGGAGATTATCAGGGGCTGCGGTGCTGTATGACTTTTTCAGGCTGCTATAAATAGAGGATTGGATCAAGCTCTGTGCTGCAGGAAATGCTCTGTTTTATTCACTCTGAACCACACAATTATCCTGCTATTCACAATCACTTTCTCATTTGCACAAACAAACATTTATAGGCATTCGTGTATGAACCTGTCTACACACAAGTGTAAATTATAAAACCATATAAAAACCATCTCAAAAGCAACAACTATAAGGCACCCTAGGTGGATGTTAAACATAGTTATCAGTACATTAGAATTAGTGTTGTTAATATAGCATTTGTACAAAGCAGAGAACCACACTGCCACCAGCCGGCTCGATGCTCTACTGCTCCCTGTTGGCTGATATTACAGAGCAGAAGCTGCTGTCAGCTAACAGCCATCTGAGTTATTAGCTGCCGCTGATAATGAAAATGTCTCCTGTACGAAAGTTTGTATAAAGTAACTCATTCATCAAAACATCATTAAACTGACAAGAAAGGCAAAGATTAGCTGGCACAGTGGCACTGGATACATTTAAACGGTTCCCTTTATGTTTGTCCGTGTATGTTTACAATATCTCACCTGGGTCCGGGTGAGTTTGGTGGAGAAGAAGAGGATGATGGGAAGGCAAATTTACGTGGATCAGAAGGGGCATCACTAGAGGAGTCCACCAGGTCTGGCATGCCTGGCGATGTGCTGACCGTCTCTGTGACAACCAGCTCTGGGTCCAAAACGAACAGCTCATCCTGAGAAATTTCAGTCACGTAGTTAAGATGCTCCTGAGGGATGACACAGACACCAGACAAATGTGAATGGTATATTTGTGGAAACTCAAAATTGCTCAATTGTAGTTTGAATTACTCTAAGAGGTATTGTACGGAGGACTCACTTGAGCTCGATCAATCCTGTAGAATCGATCCGCTGTTGTAGCTGCAAACACAAAACATACAAAACAACACAAATCAGGCCTCTGATTAGCTACCAGACATTCAAGAGCAAGTTCAAGCAGAAGAGATGACAGAACATCTCTCTCTCCAATTACACAACAGTATTGTTTCAACATCTTCACTTTATAAAACCCTGGGTTATTTTTTTCAACTCAAACACTTGATTGAGACTACTGGGTAAGGAAGCTGGGTTGATGTGACTGGAATGAAAGGTGGAAAGATGCAAGAATCGAACAGGGGATTGTGATCTACTATTTCACTGGTTTGATGTGTAGCAGTTTAGGATCTATGTGAATGTGACTCAGCTGTCACAGAGGATTTGTGTATAATGATGACTGACTCTCCATATCTCGAGATGCTGTCAAAGGAAGTCTGATGGCCCTTTCAACGTCAATGCTTCAATGCACCTCTCAACAAAAGCGTCACCTGTATGCAGTGGCGGCTCGTGGGTTTTAAAATAGAGGAGGCACACTAATTGTATTGGTCTGGGATCCCTGCCGATTATTATTATTATTATTTGCTTAACCACTTTAAAATGGCTTTTTGGTTGCTTTTAGTCAGAAAACGTAAAGAAAACGACATACATACAGCAAGATAATATAATTTCACTTACCTGGTCTATCACTTGAAGCAAACATCCATCATTACAACTGTGAAATTACAAACAAAAAATACACATTCTGAGACATGAACTGAAATGAATTGTGAATTTTATTAACATTAAATCGTCCTCCTCCCATTTTCACCTCAAAATTATGGGGAAGCTGTGCCTCCCCTGCCTCCCCCGACGAGCCGCCACTGCCTGTATGCGAATAGCCATTTATTTTTATTAATCAGTTCTCAAAGAATACATAATGTGCATAATTATCTCTTTGCTCCTTGAAAGTTCAGTGCATTAGGGAACGTTTACAAATGAAAAATGTCATCTAAAAGCCTTGACTCCTTGAAGAACAAATTACTTTTCCCTCTTATCAATGTATTTAAATTAGTTGCCATTATATGGCACTATATAATTGTGCATTGATACTACTAGGTTGTGAACACATCATTGCATCCTTTTCATCAAGACTTATGTAGTCCAATTCTCCACTTTTCATTGAGCTGACGTTAATCCACATCTTCACACTGATCAAAAAGGAGATTACTACAAGAACTGGAAAGCTGTTCACATAAAAGTATGCATAATGGCAATAATGAGCTTGTAGGATAGAGTGTAAATCAAACAGAGCACTGTTTAAATAAATACACTACCGTTCAAAAGTTTGAGGTCAGTATGACTTATTGTTTCTGAAAGAAGTCTCTTATGCTCACCAAGGTTGCATTTATTTGATCAAAAATACAGTAAAAAAGGTCATATTTTGAACTATTATAATGTTATAACAAAAAAATGTTCCCTATTAGAATTTATATTAAAAATGTATTGAATTTATTTAAAAATGTATTACTATGATGGCAAAGCTGAATTTTCAGCAGCCATTCAGCAGTGATACATTTTTTTCCGGATTCTTTCATTACTTCAAAAGAACAGCATTTATTTAAAAAATATTATAAATGTCATCACAATGCACAATTTAATGCATCCTTGCTGAATAAAAGTATTAACTTCCTAATAACAAACAATTAATAAAATTTTTTTTACTGAACCCAAACATTTCAATGGTAGTCTATTTTAACTGAAAAAAAGAAAATTATTATTATTTTTTTTAAATGCATGTGATGCCTTAAATTTTCAGAGTTCCTGCTGATCTG